GCACTTCTTGAGTTGACGTTGTAGATGCCACCTACCCCTGCCTGGAGCCCAGGCGGTCGGGATTTGCCACCTTTTCTCCATCATTGCTACTGACTGATCAGATATCCAATGCCTCGGGCGGTCTACCGCTTCAGATCCACAAGCAACGCTCACTGCGGAGTGCATTGCTAGTCTAATATGATTCCTTTGTTCATCTACACTACCACCCCGCAGCGCGTTTAGCCCTTGCATTATTTCTGATTCAAAGCTGGCCAGATAAACGATGATCTGCCAATCGAGTTTGGTGGGGTTTTCTGCGACCAGTGAGTTGGAGAGTGGACTGCACGATCAGATTCAACGCAGGTGGTCCAATAGGTCCTGCGCTTTTGTACTGAGCCACACCAACGGTTGCTTACTGCTATGAAAATACTTCATTGTGGTATCGGTCTATGATCGAATTCGTCCATTCATCCTAACAAACAGATTACGAAATCCTGATGTGCAGGCCTTATGTTAAACAGAAGTTGACCTAAGTTTTAGATTATTTGTGTTCCTATGTGGCTATTGAAGGGCTGGGGTGAGAAGGTGAAAGACATATCTAAATCTTTTTAATATCACGCAATTCATCTAGTTGACTACAGTCACACGTCCTGTTTATTTATTTAAGTAAACAGGTTCATTTAACTGAAGAGTCGAAGTATTTTGTCGTAAATATGTTTAGCTTGAGCAAAAACCATTGGTTTTCGATGCGAATATGCCCAGATATGGTGCACATGTTCACCGAAAGCTGCTAGTTAAGCTGTAAAGCATTCAATGTCAGTGCTTTAATGTACTTTAGTCACGTTTGATGCATGGTGATAAATGAAAATCGTGCCTTTTTTTGCTTGATATATCGTGTTCACCTTGTCCGATACGTGTTCTACTGTGCTTAATATGCGACCAGTCAACTATTTGCCCGCTCAATTTCACACAGAATGGCAGTCGCTTTCCTCCTCAGCTTTGATCATGCACTATTGTGCTTGCGCATCTTAGTCAATCATGTATATTTTATGTGTCCTTGTCCTCCGTTGGTGTATCCAGAATTGCAATGCGCATGCACACCAACAGACGTATAAATTCCCGCACTGCCGCGCACTTTTTCGTCGCGTTGTCTGCCACATGCACATGGACATACCACAAATTTCCTTCTTGCTTTTGTCCATATCTCTGGCCCTTTTCTCTCTCTCTCTCTGGTGGTTTCACCGCAACGTGATTCCCTATGATGTGTTCGAAACTGTGTCCCTGTGGACTGGATTAAAATTGAGTTTCTCAGCATGCGTCTGTTCTGTATGTTCGTACTCCCGAGGTTGTCCACTCCCGAGCAGAAGGTACACGGGCTAACAATCGTCACCCTATAGAACCTTTCGTGTTATTCTAAACAAAGTGGGAAGAGGAAAAGCGAACCGTCATATGGGTTACCACAGCTTGTTTATGGAGAACTAAATATGCATATCTGTAATTCATTGACATGGATAGTAGAATCAATCAGGTCTACTCACTGTTGATTGTGAAGAATATCGTTTGAACAACCTCATATGTCTGTTCCGAAGACTAACCTAGTTCTCAACTTTGCTCTGTTTTTCATGCTTTATAGATGAAATGCATAATACAGGGTTATACTGTCATGAGGGTGACGAAGATGTGCGAAATGTTCATCATAGCAGGATTTCATTGGTTTTTCTTTGAAGAAACCCCGAACGATTTTCTCTTCATCAACCTGTGTTTCAATACATGGCTTCATGATTACCGTTCGATGTTTCATATATGATAACATTTGAACTTTGCCTGCTAGAGCTGTATGATTTTTATCGAAATTCCGTTTTATCAATCTATTACAAAAACTCAAGTGATTTCCTTGTTAATCCGGTTTCCTTCCGCTTGCATCTTTTGCCAGTAGGCTTTTAGCTTCCGAAATGCGGCCAACTCCTGCAAACACTTTGGTAGTTTACCGTTTGCATGGTTACTTCAAGCTCCTATAAACTTCAGGTAGCAACTTGGCTTAACA